GAGAGCAGTAGTACGGGCTGCTGCCTTTATGTGTCAGTAGCTTTGGGAAGTGGGTCACTTTTGAGTTGGGGGGCCGCCTACTGGATGAATGGAAGGCATGGGAGAGGAAGCGGGGCAGGGCGATGCTGAGCTCACGTAACTGGTGAGCACACGGGCCCCAGCAGGTCCTGCCGGCCACCGTTCTTCCCATGCCACCCTCCTTGGGAAGCGTGCCCAGGTTGCCTGGTGGCAGGGGGTGGGGGGTTAAGGCTCTATGCTGCTGTCCTGTGTGCCCTGGTCAGGATACTGAGGGCCGTGGGTGGCCGTGTTGCTCTTCCGCCTCTTTATCGTTTTCACAGACTTCCATTGCTGTGGCATTTGATCATTCCAGATAAGATAAGGGATCCTTTCCAAGATAAGGGATCCTTTCTCCCCTGGGAACACCAAGAGATCTGAGGCCTCCGGGGAGTGTGGTGTGTGTCAGAGCTGGGGCCTGGACCCTGCTCTCCCAGACTGGCCGCTGCCTCCTCCTGCAGGAGGTCATCCTCTGCATCTGCCGATCTTGCCATCCCCTGGAGGAGCGCACCAGTGTACCTCTAGCACCTCTGACTCTTGGTCCGGCATGTGCCACCTTCCTGCTGGGCAAGAACTTGGGCCAGGTCCCTGGCCCCTCGGCATCCCCGCCCATGATGGAAGTTGCCACTTGCACTTGCTTGGCTGCTTTCACTCAGGCATAAGCAGCCAAAGAGGAAGTCCTCATGGTCTGAGTGAAAGGCCTTTTCCCATAGGGTGGAAAGGAGCCCGAACACCATAAGCCTCCAAGTTCTCTTCGCTTTTTGTTCCCTTAGCCTGTTCTCTTGTGACATCTACACCAAGGGGTTGAGGTGGGGAACTGGGGGTCAGGAGCCGAGAGAGCTGGCTGTCTTGCCCGCTCCCCGTCCATGTTTTTTGGGCTGTGCCCTTGCCCCTTGCATAGGGATTTGCCCTTCCTCCTTGCTGGGTCCTATTGCAGCTTATGAGGGAGTGGTGGTCGGGGTAGGTGCTGATCTCCTGCTCAGAGGGTGCCTCCAGTAAGGGCTCTGGCTGATTTAGTGACCTGCATCACGCCTGGGTCCTGGGGTTACTTGCTTAAGAGGCAGGTAAAACCTAGAAAGTTACCCTCTTTCAGGCTTGTTGCTTTAGGGTGTTAACTTCATTTCTTAGCTGTTCACCTCAAGCTCCTTGACAGCTTGGTAATAATAGTTGTAAGGTCTTTTTTTTTTTTTTTTCAAAGATTTGAGAGAGAGAGAGAGGCAGAGGGAGAGAAGCTGACTCCCCATTGAGTGTGGGGCCCGATGAAGGACTCGATCCCAGGACTTTGAGATCATGACCTGAGCCAAAATCAAGAGTCGGCTGCTTATCTGACTGCGCCCCACCAAGCACCCCTTATGGCATCTAGAACTATAGAGAACTAGCTCTTGTACTGCTTTCTGCCCTGGATACCCCACTACCCCTCACCCCTTCTCGCAAGGAAGGATAGGAGTCAGGGTGATCTTGCAGGACACAGTGCTGGGCGAATGCTCATCAAAGGATGGGGAAGGACTGGAGAGGCTCAGCACCGAGCTGGAGCTCACTGCCCCTCCCCTGCGGGCGCTCTGCCTGGGCTCCTTCCTGCCTGGGCTCCTTCCTGCCCTTCCTCTCCTAGGGAAACCAGCAGCCTTTGTGAATCTCCTTGACGACGGATGGATAAGTTAAAAATAACCTTGTGTTGGGGCATGCATGCATTCGTGCGTGTGTGTGTGTGTGTGTGCACGCGCACATGCACTTGTGGCTGGATACAGGCTCTCTCCCCTGCTGGGCTCTAGCTCAGCCCCTGTGGCTTCCTGATGCTCCTGGTGAGCATCTGTGGGAGGCCTTGGTGGGGCCCAGGAGGTCACATGCTGAAGCTCCTCTGGTTAGGGGTCAGATCTAGATAATCCGCAGCATCATTCCTGTACTAATGGTTGCCACTGGGGTGTGGGTGTTTATGTTAATATAAGGAAGGGAAAGCTTTTCTGAATGCCTCGGTCTTTGTTCACTCTAACTGGAGAGGAATGATTACAGAGGCATTGCTGTGGTTCAGAACCTCTCGGTGCCGGATTAGGACAGAGCCCTGCGGTGGGAGGTGGGGGAGTTTGGCCGTATCTCTTTAGGGAAGGAGGATCTTTCTGGGCCCGTTTGATAAAGTGAGGACATTGCAGTATGGAGGCACTTGCGTGACTTGTCCAGAGCCCCCTCGCTGTGCTGTGGCAGTGTAAGGAACAGTGACCATGTCATTAGAAGCTAAGGCTCTTGCCTCACCTCCTGCTGATGAGGTCATCTGGATAGGTCCTTTACCAAAGCCAGCTGCCTCTTATTAGCAGTCTTACACTAGTTAAAATCCTCTGTTTTAGTTTAGTTTAGAAAGAGCTATTTCCCTGAGGGCAGGGGCTGGGTAGCTCTTTACCACACCTGGAATTAATTCCTGGTTTCCTCTCTCCATTATTTTTCCATCCATTTGTGAGCATTTTGCTCTGTACCAGGCATGGGTAGGTGAAGAGGAAAAGGTGGTCCTTGTCTTGAAGGAGCAACAGACAAGTACAAAAATATCCCCATCAGTCTGCATTGTGGCCAGTGCCCAGAATGAGAAGGCTAAGAGAAGGAGTGATTGGGTTAGAGAAGGCTGGGAGAACACAGTGACACAGGGTGCTTAAGGCTGGAATGTCTGAGACGTTCCTACAAATCCAAAGGAGGGCAAAAAAACTCGGTAGAAAAATGATCAATGACTTGATAGACACTTTACAGAAGAAGATATCCAAACAACCAGTAAACATGAAATGGTGCTCGATTTCATGTACTTCTTAGGGAAATACAAATTATTCAACTTAAGAAAAAGTGACTGTTTTCTGTGTTCACAAACATATATAACAAAATCTTTGAAGATGTGGTGAAATACCCGTTTGCCATTTCTAGTTTACTTCATAGTGAACTTCTTGCCGAAAAGTAAAATGGGGTCTCCAGCCTGACCTCCACAATCCCATCTTCGCGGCTGCGGCCCCACACCTCCGCACTCGGGGTGCTCTGGCCCCCGGCGAGCCCGGAAGCCTGGGTGCCCTGCGGCTCCCTGCGGGCTAAGGTCTGCTCATCGGGAGTGTGCCATTGCTCCGAGGCAGTGGTCCACACTCTACCCGGGTGAACACGCTGTAGCAGCTTCTTGTGCTAGCTGTCCAGCCGTCAGGAGGATGTCAGGAATGAAGACATCCTGAATTCCCTCAAGGACCTCTGACCAGGTGGCGGGTTCGAGCCCACCCTCATTTTTTTTTTGAGAAGTGCAAGGTGAAGGGTATGCAGGTGCACCTCCTCTTCACCTTCCTGCTCTGCCTGGCTCCAGTGACTACACCGCCTTCATGACTGACCCCCAATTCATCACACGGTCTCTAGTCTGCCGCAGCGACATCGCCTGGAACTTCCCGGTGGGCCCAGATGGCTTGCCTGTTTGCAGTCCAACCCCTGCTTTCCAGCCATCGACATCCAGCCTGATTTTGAAGACCTGCTGTCCCAGGGGCCCAGTTGTGCTAGGGCGCCCCTCCCCTCTCTGCTGCCTGGCAGTCATAGTGCTGTCCTCTGGGGAATTCATTCACGATGGTATTTCCTTGAACTCTGTGTAGAGGAATGCCTGAGGTCCAGGAAAATCCCCTGAAATGGGCACTTCTTGTCCATCCCAGCCCCACTCCCTCTCCAAACCAAGTTTCCTTACTAATAAAGTGTCAGGTGTCAAAAAAAACAGTGGATTCCAAGATGCTTAAGTAAAAGGAAATGTAGTGGGATGAACACTGAGAAGTCAGAAGACCTGGGTTAATAGGAGATTTGGGGCCCACCATTGAACTTGCTCAGAGCCTCTATCTCTTCATTTGTAAATAAGGATCTTCCTGTCTCCTTTCCCTTCCTTCCATAATGACTCTGTGGCTCACAACAGGTTTGGAAAACAATCTTACAGCTGTTGAGAACTCTGCAAATCGAAGCAATATTGTTCGACTCTAATTTGAAGTGATTTGACTTCTTTTCCATCTCTTCCCAACAGCAGTGGCTGTAAATTCTTATAAGAGATAAATGCTCCGAGTAGTAAGGTCCCTAGGATTCAGAGCAGCCTGCCCTTGGTACTTTGGATAGAGAAGCAATTGCTGGTGTGACTCTGCTCCCCTCGTGGAGGGGGGCTGGCAAGCAGGGCGAATTTCTGACATGGCCGGAGCCCGGATGGCAACTCTGTGGGTGACATGGCAGGGTCCTCTGGTGCCCGGGGCTGCGTGGCTGGGAAAGGACAGTGGCACCCCAGTCCTGGTGAAGCCTAGACTCTAGTAAGCAGTACTGTGTGTCTTCCACACTGCCTGGGGCTGGCCGCCTCATGGGGTGCTCCTGTGGAGTCTGGAAGTAACACAGCAGACTTTGGGGCATTTAGTGGGGGGACAACAGCCTGCACACCCGGCTTTTCTCTGAGAGCCTGGCCAGAGCCACTGGCCACTCTGGGGGCATTAAGAGTCCACAGCATGTTGTGGGAGAGCAGGGACTTTGCTGCATGATTTAGGTGTTTTAGGTTTTAGAGGTGGATGTGTCTTTCTGGGTGCCCGCGGCCAAACACTCCTTGGCAGTAAGCCTGGCAGCAAGGGCAGGGTCAGGAATGAGGTCCTGCTGAAATTCAGGCCTGCCTCCACTTTTGGATACAAAAGAGCCCCTTTCCCCCTCCTCCAGACTGTTCCCTCCCCTGCCCCTGGGAGGGCAGGGGGATCGAGCAGGTAGTGGCTGTTCCTCAGTCCCCCATGGCAGATGCGTGCTTCGCTTCCAGCAGAGTCGGCCCCCTCGGCACATGTCAGAAGAGTGTCGGGATCGCTGTGAGTCCCATCTGCTCTGTCACCTGGCTGTGCTAGGTCCTCGAGCCTTGTTGGGGGGTCTTTTCCCATAGATCTCTTATGACGGGCATGTACTTCTCATTTTTGACCTTCTCCTCATCCTGTTTTTCTGCTGTGTAGGAATTGGAGTCAGAAGTGAAGGTAGATGGAGAGACTGCGTCGGACAGTGAGAGCCGAGCGGAAACTGCTCCTTTATCAACGTCTGCAGATGATACCCCAGAGGTCCTCAACAGGGCCCTTTCCAACTTGTCTTCAAGGTATAACCTGGCTTCATGATGCGGATGCTTGCAGGGGCCTCGCCTCAGGTCCGAGTGCTGTGGAAAACCCAGAGCCCTCAGGCAGCCGGCAGTCATCGGACGTGAGCCCATGGCTATCAAAGTGTACAGGCTTGGCCTGCCCGGAGGCAGTGGCCACAGTCTCCCTGCTTCTGCTCAGGCCTCCTCTGAATGTAACCTTGTGCTTGACGGCAGCTATGAGCACAGCCTAGAAGGATCTGGCCTTTGAAGGGTGCTTCGGTGGGGCTGGGAGGGACAGTAGTCTGAGGAGGAGGAAAGTGTGGACAAAGGGGTGGTGGCCGGCAAGGTTGTTGACACAACTTGTGAAGGGTTTGTGACTAATCGACAGGCTGCTTTTCACAGAGGAGCTCAAGTTTCTAGGTCAAAGTTTAGTTTTCCCTCTCCCACACACATCCATTGTGGACATTCCTTAAATTCACCCAGAAGAATTGAGAAATCTCAACTCGGGTGAATCCAGAGCTAAAATATTAGTCCCTTGAGACTCTGGTCCTCCAACACTGGCTATGTGGGCAGATTAAAAAACATAAACTTTAAGACCTCAAAACATTATCTGAAGGTGTTGCTATGTGTGTCTTGCACACATGTGTCTCTTTGAAAGGTGGTGTCGTGCAATGATCAAGGGCTTGGGTTCTGGAGCCAGCCTTCTAGGATTCAAATCTCGGTTGGACCACGTCACAGCTCTATGATTTGTGTATCTGCACTTCCTATCTGGAAGGGTTAGTAGTGTTGAGGCTTAAATGCATTAATATATGCTGAGTCCTTATAAAAGTGCCAGATGCTTCTTTGTGATTGTTATTACTGTTGTTGAATGTTGTTCTTACTATAAAGATACAGGGGCAGAGTGATGCAGGATTTTGCTGCTGGAAAAATGTGCATTGTTTTCCTTTGGATAGAGAGCCATAGAAGCCATCCAAGCAAATACAGAAGTGGGCACCACATTTCCCTTGGGACTTTTGCCAGATTCGTTTGTTAAGATAGGAAGCTGGGAGTATTTTTCTGTACACCTTGGAACACCTGCTGAGTTTGGTGTGGGTGAGGTGATGGCTGTTGGCCCTGCTTCTGCCCGCATGTGGCTAGTACCTCTGTCAAGGGGTAGGAGGTACGCTGCAGGAAGGGATTGACCTCTCCTTCCAGAAAGAGCAATCCCCCTTGACTTTGTGCTTTGCTTCTTTCCCGGCTCCTAACATGTTTTCTCCTTCCGCTCTTAGATGGAAAAACTGGTGGGTGAGAGGCATCCTGACTTTGGCCATGATTGCATTTTTCTTCATCATCATTTACCTGGGACCAATGGTTTTAATGATCATTGTAAGTGCCACTTGCATGCTGTTTGGGTTTTGCCTTCAGTTTTTCCTACGGCTCCATCCTCTTAAGTGTAGGGTATTGGGTTGGTTCTGGGAATCCGTGGGAGTCCTGGGTCCTCAGACCACATCTGCCTTAGAACTGTCACTGCTCCCCTTCCAGGAGCCAACTGGAGGGCTGTTGGCATCAGCCAGTTGTGTGTAGTTAAAGATATCCCTTCATTTTAAAAGTTGATACTATTATTTCAGCCGTTTGATTAGCCAGTGACCCCGGCTGTGACTCTATGTGACTCTCCGTTTTGTTTCTTGTTTCCCTGGGGCCTCACTGTGGGGCTTAGGACTTTGATTTAAAAAATCCCAGTCCACAGCACTGTTCTCTTAGTCTTCCTGCTGGCATGGACAGGGTCAGATGACTAGCGGCTGACTGCTGAGCAAAGCAGTTGGGGATTTTCAGGTATTTCTATTCAAAGTCAAAAGGGGAAGAGATTGATGGAGTCCAGGGAAGTACAAAAATAAAAAGTTAATTGAAGCTTCAGGGGTGCCTATTTCTTGGATCTATCTAGTCTGTGTGACACAAAGGACTGCACTGCCGAGGGGGTGCAGAGTGAGTGGGAAAGGAGGAGGAGAGCAGAGTCACTGTAGGACTGACATTCTTAATATGATAGTTTTTCTTCAAGGCCCATGACCTGTGTGTGGGTTTCTGTTTCCAAAAATGGTAAGAACTGGGGAATTAGCAAATACTCAGAGTATTTTCTATCTTGTAGGTGATGTGTGTTCAGATTAAGTGTTTCCATGAGATCATCACTATCGGCTACAACGTCTACCACTCCTATGACCTGCCCTGGTTCAGAACCCTCAGCTGGTAAGCCCTCCAGCCCCACGAGGGCCCTGGACGGATTTGGGTGACGAGCGTTTCGTTATAGGTATTTACAGTCATGGTGGATAGATGGGGATTGATGGCCTCCCACTCCGATAGCCCCTTTAAGACCCAAGTATTTTATGTGGATGGCCTGTGGGGAGTGTTTTGTAGTTGCCTGGGGTCTGGAGTCTTCTACATGACTGCGTCTGTGAGCACGTTTGCCTTGGTATTTGGATTCATCAGATGTTGCACAGTGGCCCCCACCTCTAGACCAGTATATTTTTTATGCTCTGATGTGCCGACATCCCATGAGAGTCCTCTGTAGTTTGTCTTTGCTGGTGTTGCTGTCTCTGGAACTTGGTTTCCTTGTCCTTGAGACAGATGGTTGAGACTGAGTCAGTTGGCTTTGGAACCCTCATTCCTTGGACGGAGGTGCCATAGGGGCCAGGTGGGCAGGAGTGACCCTGAATACAGAGGATCTGGGCTCCTCAGAGAAGCTCTGGTCCCTCTCTCCTAGGAAAGGGCTCAGCTGCCTTCAAGCAGAAACAGAATCAAAACCTGTAGCCAGGTGATGTCTGAGGTCCCTTTCTGATCTGAAACTCTGCTGTATTGGCCGCACTGTCCTTGCGGGACTCGTGAGCAGAGCTCTGTGTGGTGCCGAGAGGACTTGGGGCAAATATGGACCCTTCTCACCTTCTGTGCTGGGATGCAAGGGTTGGTTCCATGACTTAGCAGCCTGAAAGGAGTGTTTCAGGCCCCAGCAACGTGGTCATGACCAAGGGAGCTGACGTGCACAGACTTGGGCTGGACACATCCTTTCTACAGATGCTTCCCCACCAGCCAGCCATGCAAGCTGCCTCATGGTCTCCACACAGGCCTGTGCCTGCCACCCAGGTTCAAGTGTAGGTCTCTTCATGGCTCTTCTAGAGCTGGCAAGCGGTATTTTAAATTTTGTTCACACACTCAGGATGTCTGACTTTCAATTGTGGTCACTGACCAAAGGGAGTGTTTTTCATGTAACAGAAGACAAATCCAATATGAGAGTTCTTGAACTTTCACAATTAAAAAAAAAAAAGAAAAAGAAAAAGAAAGAACATGGAAGAGAGAAGCCTTCCACTCTCTTTCCTACCTCAGGACCCTGGCTGAGTATTTGGAGTAGGCCTGCTTGCTCCTACACTCCAAAGCACCGCCGAGGCTCTAAAGGTATATGAGCCATGGCGGCCCCTGCCCAGAGCTCCAGTAGAGGAAGCAGGTTATACACACATGAAGAGTTAATGCTGGTGAAAGGCTGATGTTTCAGAGATAGGCTTCAGGGAGGCAGATACTCTGAGGCCGAGTATAATTAATTGCTTAGTGAAATGACCAAATACTACATACTATAGAAATAAACATGGGGGAGCCAGAGACCATGTTAGGTTGTACAAGGCTTTTATGAAGACAATGGTATTTGAGCAACGAGTGACAAAACGGGGTGAGTGAAGTGGATGTCCCAGGCTGGGGGAGACAGGAGTGAAGCAGATGGTGGCAAAGCCAGAGTAAACCACTGTGATAGGTGTGTGGGGTTCCTGGAAGAGAGGAAATAGGATGGGGAAGCAGGAAGAGCCACGCTCTGGAAGGTCCTCCTGCGGTGGGAGTGTTCTTAGATTAGGCATGGTAACTGTGCAAAAGGGGCAAAAGCTGAGTCCCAAGTTTGTGGCAGATGGAGAGTGAGTGAAAGCTGCCACAGATTTCCAGATAGACTTCCCAGCCACAGGGTCCCCAGTGAACAGGGAACCGTGGTTGGCTTGTTCTTAGCAAGCTGCCGTGGGTGGTGCAGGGTGTGAGGGTCACACGGGCTGCTGCTCTGAGTTTTTGCTGGCAGCCTCAACGGAAAGGAGAGGCCACAGGCGCCCCCCAAAGCAGTGACCTGTCTTCTTTTATAGGTACTTTCTACTATGTGTAAATTACTTCTTCTATGGTGAGACAGTGACGGATTACTTCTTCACTCTGGTCCAGAGAGAGGAGCCTTTGCGGATTCTCAGTAAATACCACCGGTTCATTTCCTTTACTCTCTACCTAATAGGTAGGCATTCAGAGGTTTACCAGTTCTTGGGTTTGTCTTATTTGTGTTTGCTGAGTAGAAGTTGGGGCACTTCTTGGTGCCTGCACAGTCTTGATGATGTTAAGGTTGATGGTGCAAGGCAGCAGAGCTGAGGGCCCTGCCTTAAATCTGAGTCATAGCAGCTCTTGGCTAAGAAATGGAAGAAATGGGACCGAGGGCCTTGTGTGGCTGTGGAGACTGTAGTCATTGCCACCTGTCCTTGTGTCCCAGCCTCTGTGGGAGGGCAGCATAGCACAGTCCAGTCCTGACTCCCCTGTTGGCAGAGATTCTGTGGTGAGATCAAAACAAAAACCACCCAGGAATTTGGGTATAAAACCCAGCAGCTGTCTTTAGGGGAGTCACCTGAGAAGCTGCGTGAGGGACACTGCAGTGTGGTGGAGATTTTACCCAACTGGGTTTAAAAAGACTTTGTGACTTTGGAGGAGCTGGGTGCTTAGTCTTTGGGTCTCTTGTCCTCTGGAGCTAAAACAGCAGACGCACTGTGAGGATTTGATTAGATGCATTAAAAGTTCACAAACAGAAGGGTGCTGTGTCAGTCTAAACTCAGTACTACTTGAGTGTTAAGTGTTAATGCTAGTGTTTTTCATAGTTGCCCTCAAAGCCAGTTTGAGGCACAGAAGAAATTTGTTCTGACCTAAATTTCAGTCTGACCTATTTTTGATGAGCTTGATAGCAATACTTGGCTCCGTGAATGGCCCCTGGCCATTAAAATAGAAAATCCACCGCCAAGGGGGTCTGTTGCTGATGAGCATAGTCCGAGAGTGTGCCTCAGGCCCCGAGAGTAGCCCCCCATAGTGGGAGGCCTGGGGTCTGGAATAGCCACGTGTCGTCTTCTGGGCAGGGCTGTGTTTGAGGTGCCAGCCACTCTTCTGGGTAAGTGTTTCTCTCCTTCCTGAAGGAGTGTAGGGGCTTAAGGTTTATATTTATTTTTATTTTTATTTTGCCACCATGTGGGTCAGTGTGAGAGGTGCAAGGCCCTGACTCCATGCTAGGGAGATCTGCCCCCCTTAGCCAAACCTATGATTTAGGACAGGGGTCAGCAAGCTTTTTCTTTTTAAAAAAAATTTTTTTAAAAGATTTTTATTTATTATTTATTTAACAAAGAGAGAGAGATCACAAATAGGCAGAGGGGCAGATGGGGGTAGGGAAACAGGCTCTCTGCTGAGCAGAGAGCCCAATGCGGGGCTCGATCCTAGGACCCTGAGATCATGACCTGAGCTGAAGGCAGAGGCTTTAACCCACTGAGCCACCCACGTGCTCCCCAGCAAACTTTTTCTTAAAGGTCTAGATAATATTTTAGGCTCTGGGGCCCATAGGCTCTTTGTTGCAACTCTTCTGTTCTGCCCCGGAGCATGAAAGGAGAACCCCAGATAATATGCAAACAAACAGGTATGGCTGTGTTTCAGTAAAATTTTATTTGTGAAAACTGGTGTCTGATCTAACCTTTGGTGTTTGACCCCTGCTCCAGGATCAAAATGTTCCTATCTAGTGAACAGTATTTTAAATTGAGTGTAGTCTGCAAGATTTAAAAAAAATACTGCCTTCCTTTGATTGTCTTGAAGGAGTCTGTTTTTGCTTCTGACACTGGAATAGCTAGGTTTATTCCCCTGGGCTTTGGAATTGTGCATTGCTTAACTACTGCAAAGAAATTGGCCAGAAGACCATTTAACACATCTAAAGGAAATGATTAGGACAAAGATAATGCAGAGTGTGATTCATTTTGCCCTTTCTCCTTCTCAAACTAGGATTCTGCATGTTTGTACTGAGTCTGGTCAAGAAGCATTATCGACTGCAGTTCTACATGGTAAGTGAGATGTGTGCGTGTGTGCGTGTGTGTGTGTGAATTCTTGGCTTAAGTGAAGTTCTACAGAAACTCACAAGGCCTCTATGCTTTCTGTGACAGATCAAAACTCTGGAACACAGTCTGTTTTGTGTGCATAGAACCTAGAGCATGAAGGGATATCTCCCATTTAAGTTACCCTGCTCTACATCCACCTAGACCCAATCACTGTTAACTTACACCCCCAGCAGCCTCTCCATTAGGACCTGTAGGTGGCGTCCAAGTGTGGCTCAAGGTGAAGCTTTAGGCAATGCCCACAGACACTCTACATGCTACATCACTCCCTCAACCTGGAAGCAACCCCTCACTGAGGGGCCTAAGCAAGGGTCCTAAGTAACATTCATTTTCTTAAGATTTTATTTATTTACTTGAGAGAGCTAAAGAGAGACAGCAGAGGGAGAAGGACAAGCAGAGTCCCCACCCACTGAGCAGGGAGCCCGACATGGGGCTCCATCCCAGGACCCTGAAATTATGACCAGGTGCTTAACCGACTCAGCCACCCAGGCATCCCAGCACTCAACATTTATGGAGAAAATGAGACGTACTCAGGCTTTCAGAGCATAGAAGGACTTGTTCACTGGTGGGCCCTGTGGTCCCTACTTTAGGTGGTAATTGTAGCTGGGGGCAACGTTAATCCCAAATGCCTGTTCTGTACCTTTTTACTTCCAATAAGACAGGTAGAGAAGCAGACGTATTTTCTACCTGTTTTGTTGTTGTTGTTGTTTAGCAATTTCTATTTGTTATTGACTGTTATTTGAAGTTCCTTTCAAGGTAACAGGTAGGTCAAATGTATTCTTGATTTTCTTTTGCAGTTTGGCTGGACCCATGTAACATTACTGATTGTTGTAACTCAGTCACATCTCGTTATCCACAACCTATTCGAAGGAATGATCTGGTGAGTGATGTCAGGGAGGGAGATTTCCCTTTTATTTTGTGGGTTTTCTCATGTCCAGGTAGACTGAGAATCCCTGCTTACCTTCTAAGCCGGGGGTTCTCACCTTGAGCTACGTCAAAATCCCATGCAGGGACTGGTTACAACACAGATCACTGGGCCTCACTCATGAGGCCTCAGCAGATTCAGTAATGAGAATTTGAACCACTAGTACATTCCCAGGTGATGCTGCTGGTCAGAACATATACTTAAGAACCGATATTCTAGACTAACAAGTACATGGATAATTAAAGAATCAAAGACAATGCAACCCTATAGCAACAGATTTAAAAAACTAAAGGAAAATGCCGTGATCTGGTAAAATGTAAACTGCCAACAGTTATGAAGAAGAAAACTTGAAAAGATCACTAACTGTTAAAGATCTTTGAAAATCACCTAAGAATCCACATCTGGGAAGAAAACAACCAATGATAATAGCAGAGTTTTATCTACCCCTTCATACTAAAGCTGATAAGCTGGGGAGGCAGAAAGAAGAATGTTAAACTGATTTCTTTAATGATTACAGATAAACCATTGTAAATATTGGCAAATAGAATCCGGCAATGTGTCAAAAGCACCATGTACTCATTACTTAGTAGATTTTATTCCAGAAATGCAATGGTTTCAGTAGGAAATCTGTCAACATTTATGGAAATCAGCAGGCTGGATGATTTTGGTGAAAGGCGAAGGCATATCCTCGTTTATATAAGAGGTACTGAAGTGTTGTACTTAAGACCCCAGACGGTGCTCTGTTTTCAGATCTCAGAATGAGGGTATAGTAATACTCACCTCCTGAGGAATAAATTAGTAAATATATCTAAAGTGCTTGGAACAGAGACTAGCTCATATAAATGCTGGTCTTACTACGTTTAAAACAATGGTAGTAATGGTCTGGGGAGGCTCGCAATTTTCCCCTTTCAGTTTTTGTTAGGTAATTCTAAGGAATGGCTTCTGATAAGTCCTTATCTTTAGGGCCAAACATGCCACTTGTTCCTACAGTGAATCATATTAAAATCTCTGGTTATTGGTTTTCAGCTTTACCTACAGGATTTAACTGTAGGTATAGAAAATAAGAAGAGCAGAGAATATGTGCAAGAAGCCTGGACAAAGTAAATAATGGGCGGGGTTGTGAGGATACAGATGCTCCCTTAACAAACAGAAGATATTGCCTCTAGTTGATGGGCTGGGAAGTCAGAGATTTACGTAGATTATGGTAAATACAGAACTTGAAATAGAGGACATTTGAAAAACATGACGGTCAGAGAGTGGAGAGGAAGGAGAGCAGAAGGATACAAGTGTGGAAATGGCCTCCTTTTTCATAGTGGGGATCAGCAGGTGAGGAGGGGGGTGCGGGAGCTGGAAAAGATAGCTAGATCTGTGAGTTGTGGTTCTGCGCTCGGCGTAGCCCTAGGGAGAGGGAGTGTTCCTGAGAGCTAGTCATAAACCGTTCACCTAGATAAATTATGAAATAGACATGAAGTAGTCAGGAATGAGTAAAAGTAGTTATTTGGGGGGAATGGAGATAGGGAGGGGGAAACAAGGAAAACTTTCTCTTCTTTACAGTTCAAATTTGTGTTACCACGTGCATATATTACTTCATAACAAAAAAGGAACACATGACATTTTATAGAACCCCACCTCTATTTACTCGGGAGCCATTTGGTAAAGATTGGAATGTCTGCTGTGTGCCAGGTACTAGGTATAGCTTGTCTGGTATTTTCTTTCTTTCTAGCTTATTCCTTCATGGATGACAAGTACTTACGGGTTATTTTGTTCCTGGAGTTGATGAATGGCATTGTTTTGTAGACCTCTGAGGTATTGTCATCTGGGGAGAGTTGGTTTTCACTTTGGTTTACTCCCTAGGTTCATTGTCCCCATCTCTTGTGTGATCTGTAATGACATTATGGCCTATATGTTTGGCTTCTTCTTCGGTCGGACCCCACTCATCAAGGTAAATGGGTCACCCTCACATGAAATACCACTGTGAGGGGAGGGTGGTCCTTTCTGTAGAGTAGATCAGCTTGGGGCAGAAGAAGTCTAGCTTGTATGAATGTCTTCATGTCGTCCTGGAGAAAGGCTGGTGATTACTTAGTTTTAGGAGAAAAGCCAAAGGAAGACGACTATTCATAGAGAAAAAAAGAGCTAACAGAGAAAATATCTTATAGACTATGTAGACACATTTTAGGGACTTTGATCGGAATTTGCGTGTTGTCATTTAATTTTATTTTATATGTGATATTAAATATATTTATATATAAACTGGGACAGAAGGGAAACTGAGGGGTATCAGGCCAGGAACAAGGAGACCAGGCAGGGGTTGTTTTAGAAGGGAAGGAGGTTAACAGAATGAGATGGGGTTTTTGTTTTGTTTTGTTTTGTTTCTTATAGTAGGAAGGTTTTAAATAAGTAATCATTGTTCTCAAAGCCAGTTATCAAAATGCCCTTTGTTAAGAATTTGCTTTCTGTCTGTAGCTGTCCCCGAAGAAGACCTGGGAAGGCTTCATTGGGGGCTTCTTTGCTACTGTGGTGTTTGGCCTTCTGGTAGGTGGTGGTTCGCTGCTGGGTGGGGGAGTGGACAGAGACCTCACACCCTCCCTCAGAGCTTGTCCAAGGCTAGAGAGCTTGTTTCCTGAGGTCCAGGACTCTGTCCTGCTGCACGGTAACCTTGCCCCTGCGGGGCATGAGTATGGCACGCTCTGTATCTAGCCCCATGCCAGTTCTCAAACAGGGTCTTGGCAGCTGAGGGGCGGGTCCACGTGTGCCTGCACTCCCCTCAGGCCGAGGCATGCGACGCCCAGCAGGTAGTGTTCTTGTCCACCCTTTTGATATTTCAAGGTTGAGTGACTGGCAGCTGAGAGTAGGAGGGGAGGTGGGCTCTGCCGCTTTGGCCGAGGTTCTCTCCCATGTGCGTCCTGTGGGAGGAGGATGATCTTCTCGCCCTAACCCTGCTTCTGACCATCAGGCCAGCCTCTCTCCTTTTTCAGGGGTGTCCAGCCGTCCTCTAGTACCGATTCCCTTTCTTCATTGCTCTTCCACCTTCTTCCCCCAGGCTGGCTGTCTCTCACTGTACCACTCCCTGACATCCTGCCTCCAGTTCAAATGAAACTAAAAGATCCTGAGGAAAAGGGACCATAGCTCCCCTAAATGGGGAGAATCTACTTGTAGCTCTTTGCCCAAATTCCTTCAGGTCTCTCGTGGATTTTGACCTGGGTGTTCAGGCAATTCTGTGTAAAGCCTCAGCAGGCCATGCACCGGTTTTTAAATCCTTTTCCAAATTCAGGCAAAATACTCCTGTGGGGAAGCATGAACCTCTGATTTAGTGCCCAGCTCACAGTTAGCAGGGTCCTAGGCCCTGTGAGGGGGACAGCCAAACCCCATGTGTGCTGCCCGGGTGGGCTGGCTGGGCCTTGTGTCTTCTGCCCGACTCTGCTTTTCATCCTCAGCTGTCCTATGTGATGTCCGGGTACAGATGCTTTGTCTGCCCCGTGGAATACAACAATGACACCAACAGCTTCACTGTGGACTGTGAGCCCTCGGACCTCTTCCGTCTGCAGGAGTACAGCATTCCTGAGGTGATCCAGTCGGTCATTGGCTTGGTATGTGCCACTCACATCGGGCAAGCTATCCTTGGTTAGGTGGTGACTATAGAGAGAGTGAGCCCTCTCTCCACCACTGCCACTCCCTCAGAAAAAGCCTAGCTTCCTCCCTCCACAATGCCAGGGCCCAGGATAGAGGAGACTCGCTCAAGTCAGGGTGAGAGCAGAAGGAGACCTTTCATCTCACCTCAGTTCATGTATTCCAGTGGTTCTCAAACTGCTCTGTGGATCCCTAAGGAACCCTGAGATCCTTTCAGGGGGCCTGTGAGGTCACAGTTATTTTCATAATAATAATATGACATTATTTGCCTGTTTTTACTTTGTTGACATTTGCTGTGAATGGTGCAAAAGCCGTGGTGGGTAAGCTCGCTGATGCTCTAGCACAAGTGAAAGCAGTGGCAGCAAACTGGACTAAGTCGTGGGATTCTTCATGCCACACACTCGCAGTTAGAATAAGCCAGCTCCTCGTAAGAATGTCTTTGATGAAAACGTAACATGGTTCATTTTATTATATTCTGACCCTTGAATACATATCTGTCTATATACTCTTGTGTACCCAAGTGGAAACTATGCCTAGAACATTTGTGCTAAATATGGCAGTCTGGTGCTTACCTAAAGGAAAGCGCGCATGCGCTTGTTTGAGTTATGAGCTGAGCTAGCTGCTTTTTTTTTAATAGGGACATACTTTTTACTTGAAAAGAACTGACAAACTCCAGTGTTTCAGCCTTGTGTATTTGATAACATTTTTCTTGAAAATGAATGAAGTGAGCCTGTCACTTCAAGGAAAACCCCTGACAGTGATTGTTACTGATGATAGAATTTGGATTCCAAGTGAAAATTAATATTTTGGAAAGCATGTACCTGTCCCCGGAGTTTGACAGCTTCCTGATACTTCAAATGTTTGTGGATGAGAGCTGCAGTGATTTTTTTGTGTGTGATTTTTATAGTGATTTTAACATACGATGTTTTGACATTGTATATAGCAAACTGTCTATACTTGGAAGACTTACATAACTTGGTGAACTATCGTTTTCTAAATGGCCAGTGCGTGGTGTTACAACTGTCAAGTGTGGGTCAAAGATCCATTCAAAGTGAAAGACAGATCAATGGATTTTAATGTTAAGAGCTCAGAAAGTTCATTTGTAGGATTTCAAATTGCACACTGCACCAAATTTTTAAAAAACTACCACTTGTCGAGTTCTGGTGTAGTGTCAGAGAAGAATACCCATAATTATCTAAAATACTTTTCCTTGGGGCACTTCGGTGGCTCAGTGGGTTAAAGCCTCTGCCTTAGGCTCAGGTCATGATCCCAGGGTCCTGGGATCGAGCCCCGAATCTGGCTCTCTGCTCAGCAGGGAGCCTGCTTCCTCCTCTCTCTCTGCCTGCTTCTCTGCTGAGTTATGATCTCTGTCTATCAAATAAATAAAATATTTTTTAAAAATAAAGTAAAATACTCTTCCTTTTTTCAGCCACTTAATTTGTGTGAGGCTGGATTTTCTCCACATACTTCAATTAAAACATCATATTGCAACAGACTGAATGCACGATACTGAATGTCCTCTATTAAGCAGAGCAGTACAGAGTTACAGACAAAATCCAGTTTTCTTACTAATTTTGTTTTTGGAGGGAAAATAGAGTTCATTTCATAAAGACTCGCTTGTGTTAACAAGGCATCTTGACTGATTTCATTTATTCTTCTCAGACAACAGTCTGGATGTACCCCTTCCAGATCCACAGCATCGCCCTCTCCACGTTCGCCTCGCTCATTGGCCCCTTTGGAGGGTTCTTTGCAAGTGGATTCAAACGAGCCTTTAAAATCAAAGTAGGAAAACCCTCTTTTCTGTTTCTCTCATTGTCTCCCAGCCTGGTCTCCTCCTGTCCCACCCCATCCACCACCCCCTCCTTCAAAATACCAAGCTGTAAATACCAAGCTATAAACCAGACTATTAATGCGTGCTCTTCTTCACCCATGGGTGGGATTTAGGCTGGTAAATTTAAAGTACATTGTTTCCGGGGCGCCTGGGTGACTCATTTGGTTAAGTGTCTAACTCTTGATTTCAGCTCAGGTCACGATCTCGAGGTCCTGAGATCAAGCCCCACATCAGTCTTGGCACTGGGCATAGAGCCTGCTTAAGATTCTTTCTCTCTCTGCTCTTTGGCCGCCCCCTCCCCACATGCACGCGCGCGCTCTCTCTCTCTCTCTTTCTCCAAAAAACAACAATAACATTGTTTCCAAGAAAATTCATCGTAGTTGACCCTTGAACAGCATAGGGGTTAGAGGCACTGATCCCTCCCTCCTGTCCCCATCCTTCCACGCAGCAGAAAATTCCCATATAACTGTTGACCGGAAGAATTACTGATAACAGTTGATTAACACTTATTTTGTATATTATATGTATTATAGACTGTATTCTTACAATAAAGTAAGCTAGAGGGAAAAAAATGTGATTAAGAAGATTTGAAAGAAGAGAAAATGCATTCACATCAATGTACTGTATTTACTGAAAAAAATTCACGTATAGGTGGACCCGTGTAGTTCAAACCGCTGTTGTTCAAGGGTCAGCTGTAGTTGGATTTTCAGTGTATTTGTTCATATATCTTGTATCTTTCTTCAGAAGAAACATTATATCATAAGACTCTGTCCTATTATACCCTCAGCCTTTGAACCAATACTTCTTACTTTCTGTTGCCCTTAGCTACTCAGGACAGTAGCTGGGCACTGAGGTGGGACAGTAGGCCAGGGTTTGGGGTTGGCCTCCCCAGGTTCACCAGTCTTGCCTCTGTTTTTAACAGGACTTCGCAAACACCATTCCTGGCCACGGAGGCATCATGGATCGCTTTGACTGTCAGTACCTGATGGCCACCTTTGTTAACGTGTACATTGCCAGTTTTATCAGGTACAGTGCCTTTCCATCTGGACCAAGTTGGTGGGATTTTGAATGTGGTGAAATTCTAGAAGTGTAGCTACAAATCAGTGGGAGGGAAATGCATCCCAACCATGAATGCGGTTTTCGGTTGCTATTCTGTCTGGGTTCTCTGAGGGTCCCCCTGCCCTCCACAATACGGAATCCAGCGGGAATAGCAGCCGTTTGAATAATCAGGCCCCAGAAACTGCTGGACCTCTGCTCAGTGCTGTTTCCTCACATTCTCTTCCAGGGGCCCCAACCCAAGCAAGCTGATTCAGCAGTTCCTGACCTTGCGTCCAGACCAGCAGCTGCACATCTTCAACACCCTCAGATCTCACCTGGCTGACAAGGGGGTGCTGACAGCTGCCGTGGAGGATGAGTAGCGGCCCCAGGCCCAAGACGGCAGGAGCAAGCGAGCGAGGGGCTAGGCTCCAAGGCAAAGTCCCCCTGGTGTGACTCAGTCGATGACAAGGCTTCAACTCACTGTCTTTTTTTTTTTTTTTTTTTGTAGAGTGTTTTTTATTTGTGGGTTTTCAGAACAATCTGTATATACAGTCTATGTGCTTATGATTTGGGTCGTGGGTAAACTACAGCTCTGAGTTGGAAAGAAGTCACCGGGGTCAGACCTTTCAGGCTTTTTAAATGGAAGTTTTAACCTGGAAGACACTGTTGCCCACCTGGGGTGTATCTGCTTGGTGCTTCTTGCTCCCAAGCTAGAGCTTCTGTTGCCGGGCTCCATCAGGGAGGGAGTGGATGTTCATCTGTGGCGGACCAGTTTAGGGCCGCCCCCCGCCCCCCGGCCTGCCGTTGTAGCTGCCTCCAGCTGGAAAGAGGTGCACGGCTTGGATGTCTTTGCCCCGGAGAGCTTTCACCTGGGCCTCTCGAGAATCCCAGCCCTGGAGTGACGGGACAGTTGCCTTCTATCTGGAGGGACAAAGACTGTTTAATTAGATAAAAATTCTACCTGCAAGGTCCTGTGGGGTGTGAGCTCTGCTTTATGACATGGGTTAACCTTACTTCATCACAGACTGAAAGAAGGCTTCAATATTTTTTTTCAGGAAGCACGACAAATTATTTATAATAGTCCGAAAAAGTACACTGTAATATTTTGAGTGTATGCGGTAGAACATGCCATCACGAGCCCTTCCCCCAGGTGGTCGGCTCACGTGGCTCCTCTTGGGCAGTCCGGCTAACTGTGTCTTTTCTGGGCCGGTGCCGTTCACGTTTGTGCTGTAGACTTGTTGCTGCTGAATCCCTCCTGGGGGCTCTCCTGTTAGGCAGGGAGCAGGGGGCTTCTCGTTCACGTGCCCTTTGCCTGACCGACCACCCTTGTAGCTGCTGTGTTGTGTATATACTACTCTAAAGGCAAGTGTGTACCTGTGTGTGTGTTTTAAGAATCACTTACTTCTTACAGTGATTTCAGTTGTACCATGACTTCTTCACTGCAACCACAAAATCCTCCTTACAACTCTGGAAACCTAACCCAATTAGAGGTGTAGAGGTGTGACTGTTCTGAAGATTACATGCACACTTTATATATAAATATATATATATATATACATATATATTATATATATATTATATATATATATATATATAATATATATATAATGTGACCAGTTTAAATGTGGTTCGTATTTTATTGAGGGACCTTTTTTTCTTTTAAACTGTGATTCCCCCCCCCCCCCCCCCCCCCCCTCCTGATAGGAGTGATGTTGACTTTAGGGAGACAAGTTCTTTGTTATGTCAACAAGCAGGGGAGGACAGGAAAGAGAACTGGTGCCCAGCTGTGTTCATTTGTTCCGTGCCATGCTGGTTCTCCTTGCCAAATGAGGGTGCAGTGACTTGCTTCAGCACCTTGGTGTGCTACTGCTTCATTCTGTTTGTTTCCGTCAGTCGTCCTTGAAAGCTCACGGTCAGCTCAGCTCACTGCCATGGGCGGCACAGGGCGGCAGGCCCCTGTTGACATGGCAGCAGGGTCACTGCGTGGGTCTCCCCACGCGTGCAACATTGAAGCAGCTTTCCCCGTCTGAGCTTGTACTTCCATTTCAACACGTGGCTTTCCTGGTTCAGGGCTGAGGGCCCCTTAAAAACAAAGTGTGTTTTTGCGTGGGGTTTCCATTCTGGCCGGGTGACCCTGGGCAGGACACATCCCTCTCTGGGTCCTCATGTTCTGAGCACTCCCTTAATTCAGTATTCCGTGATTCTGACTGAGCAAGTTCGTGTCACCAGAGGCTACTTGTGGGTATCGAGTTGTGTCCTGGGCACACAAACAGCAAGAGCTTTCAGGCCGTTTCTAAATGCTTGTCTTTGAGATGAATCAGTATCTCACCAACCAATCTTAAACAGTGGAGGTCATTAGTAACGAATCTAGTTTTCACATTGAAGAATGGACTTGGTTCCTAAAACCAGAGACAGAAGGGGTTGTCTCTGTCACCTTATTGTGGGCCTACAGTGGGAGCCTTGGTGGCTGGGGCCCAGCAACCCTTGAATAGGGGCATCTTTGGGATTGGCGTGCCTGGCACAATCCTTTGTGGAAGGAAGTGGTCACTGAGGGGGCCTCTGGGGTCCTGGGAGACTGAAGCTGGATGCTCACAAGAGCTCTTCTCAAGAAGCCCAGAAGGTGAGCTTCGGTTTTATCTTCTATTTTCCCCACATGCTTTCTGGTCAAGGAAGAGGAATTTCCTAGCCTAGTAGCCAGGCAAGCAAAGCCACCTGTGTCTCTGTCTACACACAGTGTTTTTCTTTCTCCCATTTATTGAGATATTTCACCATATAAACAAGATTGCTAGAGACTATTTTAACATACCCCTGTGCAGGTCTTCATGAATGGCATAACTTGCTTCAGATCCACTTGTTTGTGTGTGAGAAATAAAATGTGACAGAAACTGTGTGCTCTCTCCCTTGTGACTTCCGCGTCTCCCTTCCATGTGGGGTGTGATGTTTCCCACTTGTTATTCCATCGTAAATATCCTGCAGTCCTGGTTTAGAGACTTTTGTTTTCTGCTCTGAATCTTCCACTTTCTCACAGCGGCCCTCTAGGGCACCTCAGGTGGGAGTCCCGAGCACCTTGTGGCTGAGGACGCAGAGGCCCAGAGCAGCGGGAGCCTTCCCCAGGGTCACGTGGCAGAGGCAAGCCTCACTCCACCTTGCACTCTGCTCACCGGGACAGGGATCATCCGTAGCCCCACTTGCTTTTGTGAAAGTGGTGGTCAGTGTGCCAGGAATTCAGCGTCTGGTGGACCTGTGCCCCAGGTTGGAGCTTAGGGAGGGAGCTGATGAGCAAGGTTGTCATGGAAACCAGGGAGCATCTACAGAGTGTCCTCCCTGGGGACTGCTCAGGGGACACCCGAGTCTTTTCCCCTTATGAGCACTTGATACCCCTTTATCTGGCCTAAGCATTGAGAAAGTCACGTGTATGTTTTGCTTCTGAGAGTGAAACCCCATAAGGCAGCCTGGGTCTTCAGGCTTTATTTGTGTTTATTTCTTCTTTGTGTTTATTATTTTTTGCCTATTTCATATTCTGAGCATATTAGTAGCTATAGTATAATTATATTTAAGATGTATTTACTCTTAGTTTTTTCTATATTCTGTATTTCTAAGTCGATAATATATGTCTGAAGTTAGTATCTTTTTCACTTTTAGAAGGGGTGAAATGTAGTATTTCATCATACACAGGTGGACTTTGGAGCCATTTTTGTGGTATTTATTTATTTTTCCCCACTGGGCTTCTTCTCCTGTAACTTGACATATTTTTGGAATCTTTCTATATACCCTATTTTAAAGGAGATTAAACAGACCCTGATTTGAGTAAGCTAGTTGCTGAGTTGGCTAGAGGCTGATACGAATGGATCCTTGAGTTCAGATCTTCCAAGTGTCCGTGAGTCCGCAGCCGGCCCAGAGGCACCCCTGATGTTGATGGGAGAGGGCGGGGGCGGGATGTGAATGACTCAAGGCAAAGTGCGTCACTGCTCAGAAAACTCAGCAATGGCCTTGCTCTGTAAGGAGCCTGCCCAGGTCCATTTCTAAGCAAGTAGCTTTTCATTACTCTACCAGATGTTGTCTATCATTGCCAGAACCTCTTCCTGTGTCTGAAGTGTCTTTGGCACCATCGCGATTTTCAGACTAACTCTGTGCTCACCTTCCTTTCCCATTGCAGTGATGTGCTGAGTAGCAGGTAGAGTGGGGAGGGGGTTGGTTTCACTTGGACCCACCAAAGTCAGGGAGGGGAGGAAGAGCTAAGAGGAGGATGTCCAGGTGGCTGTGTAGACATCACAGGACGGTAAACCATTTGCAGACTCACTGTGCTCCAGACTCCAGCAGCTGGAACAAACCATCGGCTTCCCGCAGACGGGCTGACTCTTGGGCAGAGTCTCATTATTCTGTCCTTGTCGTGGTCAAAATGAACTTCTCTTTCCCTCGATTGCTGTCCACCCAGTTGCCCAGTTTCTAGTTTTTGAAAACATTTGCCACTCCCACTACCTGACTTGGTTTCCCTTGTTGGGTGAGGATCTGATGGCCTGACCTGCAGAAGGTGCTGCCCTTTGGACCGAGTGATGATGAGTGAAAGGTCTCTTCTAGGCCCACGTCCTCTTAGTCCCAGACTCTGCTCACCCACGTCCTTGCAGAAGGCGGCCCTCTTCTCAGTAACGAATGGAGTCCCAGCTGCTGACTGCTTGTACCACTGGACGGTGGCCCTGTCTTTCTGTTCCTCCTGGCTCTGCCCTGCCACCCTCCCCTTTTCAGGCTGACCAGCAGTAACCTTACTTACCTGGGCTCTCAGATGGGTAGAGGCTATTCTTCCCTGGGGCTGTCTCCTGAGTGAGATTTTCGCTGGTTTGTATGTAGACTGTGTTTTCAAGGGCAAAGAGATCATGGCTGTGAGGGCCGTTTGGGAGGTATACTTTGGATGCTGATATGTTAGGGTTTGTAGAACATGTGGGTGATTTATGAGACGGGGCAGAATAGGTGACATCTAGGACCTTATGGCCAGTGGGTTTCAAATCTGTTGGCCATTTGAAGACCCCGTTCCATTCCCTCCCTCTCTCCACCAAATGCCTTTCTGCTGAAGCTCCTTTTTATTCTTGAGCCAGTAAGATGCCAACAGTGTGTTTGTTAATAATTGCAATAATAGTCATAGTGCTTAATATGTGCCACGTATAGTGCTAAGGGCTTATCCCTTTTAATCCAGAAAACAACCTTTAATTAGGTATTATCCCCATTTTATAGGTAAGGAAACTGAGGCACCATGACAGGCTGATCTCAGTGGCTGAGGAGATAGACTTCCGGCTCCAATAGCCCTAGGTCTGGGCAGGTTACTGGGTATAACTCCAACTGGTGGGGTCTGAGAGTTGCACCTCCCTTGTGGGAATGTTGTGAGGATTTTTAGGAGATAACGCATGTAAGCATTTAGCATAGTGTCTGGCACATAGTAAGCCCTCAATAAGTGGTAGTTATTTTTGTTGAACTCAGCGAGTAAATTGAACCTAGTTTGTGTAATGCCAGAGACTGGATTCTTAGTCACTGCACTGTTACCTGCCCAGCATGCATCCTGGGTGTTCACAGTCTAAAAGATTTTGAGAGAAGTTATCCAACCTTAACACCCACCTCCAGCGTCTGGGTGCATCACACTTCTCTTTCCTT